GCAATGAAATTCTTGGAATGACTAGACTCATGTAAAACAGAACTTTCATTTTCCCAAACCAAAACGTGTAAAATGCCAATTAGTGGCCAGGCCCAGAACATGCCCTAGAATGGATGGGCTTTCAGGAAGTGAAGTTGTCAAGGGCTGTGGTTCCTCTCTGAGATGCTTCTAGAGTCCACCAAACACTGGTGAAGACCCCCCTGAGAAGAGCCAGGGAGAGCAGTGGAGGAGTCAGAAGTCAAATTTGGAGACCTCAAGAAAGCACCGAGAAGTGTGGGGTGGGGATGTTGGCAGCTGCCTGACACCTTCCTGGCTCCTCCCTTCTCTCTCTCTCCATTATTAGAGTCTAGTCAGCAATTCCACAGAGGGGCTAACAGGGTGGGCTTCTGCTTAGCTGGGTTCAGCCCTCCATTATGGATACCATTGCGATTATGAAGCTGACTATCCATATGGCCTTGCACAAGTCACTAAACTCTCTAAGTCTGTGCTTCTTCCTCTATAAAATGAGCTACTAAGAATGCTCAATTCATAAGGTTGTCATGAGGCTCAAATTAGATAAGCCATACCATGTACTTAATACCTGGTATGTAGGAGATAATTGATAATGTTAGTTATCGTTAGTCTTTGGCTGGAGCAGGTGGCCATTTGTCTGTGGTGCCTTCATCACACTGAGAAGGTCATGCTGCTTCCAACTCTCCCACTCTTTGCTTGAGTCCTGCTGTGCCAGTTATTCTGCTCTTACATTGTTAACTCTCCTGGAGGTCAGAGAAGCTTGTGGCTGGTGATGGAGGGCAGCCAGGACCTTGGCCAACAAACCAGTTGAAGGCTCTGATCGGTGGCCTTGACTTTCTCAGTCCTAATCTTTTTATACCCAGCAAAGTAAACTATCAGGGGTCAGGTCAAAAGTAGAAGTGCAAGCAGAGAGCCAGTCCATGGACAGGAAGGTCCCAGAGGGTCACCCATTTTGCCTTGACATTTGATATTGAGATAAAAATTGAATGCAATAAATTTCACTCTAAGTGAGACAACAGATTGTCTTCTTCTCGGTCCATCTGAGGCTGGGCGGTCTTCCTATTAGTCAAGTCATAAATCTCCTGGTGGCATGAGTGCTGGGCACATGATACCCTGCACTGTCTCCTGTTTCCAGAAAGAGTTGATGGATCCTTCCCCTCACATTTATTTCAGCCATTAACATGGCACAGTAGAATTTCAACAAGACAGAAATAGAAGACAGAAAGGTTGGTCCTGTCAAAAGCTCTTAATATAATTATGAAAGTCTAACCTCTGCATGTACCCCCAGCCCTCCAGGAATAATTAGGCTGTAAGACACTGGGAACCAAACTGAGGTGGGGAAGGGGAGGGACAAGGATGGGCAGGATGAGGGCAGGCTGATTAGTGTAATGGCTTTTGTGGCTCTGCAGGAGGATCTGGAATACTGCAGCCCTGCAGGCACCCTGGGAATTTTGCATGTTCATAAAAGCCCCAGTTAGAGCTTGGATCATCTCAGGCAGCAATTAGTGTCTCTAATAGTTTCAACTGATGCATTATAGCTGACCTGGCCCCATCCCCAGCACATCTTGTGCACCAACTCTTTGCTGAAGATTAGTTATGTAGAAATATGACCTTGTCAACCCTCCTGCCCCCATTTGCCTCGGCTACACCCACAGGATCTGCAGAGGTGCCAGGGACACCTTGGCCAGGGTACCCAGCTTCAGGATTGATGGGCGCCTCAGAGGCAGGCCCAGTCAGAAGAGCCAAGCTACCAGCGGGGAGGCAGATTCCCTGTTTCCTTGAACATTTGCTTTGCATTTAGTGTTTACTTTTGTCTTTGAAAGGCAATCTACTGAATGAAAAAAAGCAGTCCCCAAAGTCCATTCCAAGTTGTCTCTTCTCCAACTTAATTTCCATTCTAATGTTTATGAAGCTCCCACCGGAGCATTTGGCATTCATTATTCTAATTCTGCTGCAATTCTCCCCAGGATTTGCTGTCTTGTCACCACCCCCTGCCCCTTCCCTACCATTTCAGGGTTTGCAATGGAATGACTGAGCTCAAGTGTCCATGGGAGGGGGCTCGGGAGGGCTCTAACACAATGGGAATAAGCAACTCCAGACTTCAGGTTGTCCTTTTGCTTTGCTAGCTGCCACCCAGACCCCAGAGCATCCATTCTACACTGGTGGCTGAGTGACAGCTCTGTGCTGTTATGGGGAGCAGACTTGGATCTCTGAAATCTTCTCTTCTAAGATTTTGTCTCTGTTGACAGTGATACTGACAGTATCTTTAAGAGGGACCACAGTTCAGCTCTTGATCCAAGACACAGTGTCTTGGTTTTGAATCTCAGAGCTGCCCTGAATTGGTCACGTGACCTTAGGCAAGTAGTATAACCTCTCTGTATCTCAGTTTCATCATCTATAAAATTGGTATCAACAGTGCAGAGTCATTGTTAACATTAAACAAATAAGTAGATGAAATTTCCTGGAAGAGTGCCAGGCATATAGTTAGCATCGGTTAAGTGTTGGCTTAAAATAATTATTAACCATTGGTTGATCCTCCTGGAATTTGCCTGGATGCCGAGGCTGGAGCTGCAGTCCCCAACATGCCCAGCAGGGTGTGCACTGCTCCTCATGGCCCAGGGTGTAGGAGATGGAGGCCACTGCTGTCTCCACTGGAAACCTTCGGAGGATTCTGTTGAAATAATGAATGCTTCCAGCACTTCACATCTCCACCCTATCCTTCAAATACACTGGCCTGGTGACTCCTGCAATGTGACTGGTTTGTGATGAAAGCAAGCGGGCAGGAGGACAGGAATGAAATCATAGAAATTCTAATTCCCAGGGATCAGTCACTGGGCCAAGGCTACCCAATTAGGAAATGGCATAGTGGGCATTTATTTCCATATCAACTGGACTCTCAGAGCACACCTGCCCAGAATCCCATAGAGTCCCTTGTGGGGGGCTTACAGTATTGGCCAGGGACTGTTCTGCCCTGTTCTGGTTTTGGAGTAGTGGGTGGTATGGACAAGTCTTCCAACAAATCTCTGAAAACAGAATTGAGGCTGTTTCATAATTCTCAAAGGTTGGAGATGTTCCAGAAGGTGGAGAGAGAAGTTGGCCTACTTTAAAGGGCTTCAGAAAAGGAAATTCCCAACCCTCTCCAGACCTGGGAAGAGCTGCCACCTTCAGGCCAAATATGGAGGATAAGCCTCTTCCTAAACTGTGCAGCCAACACTTCACAAATCTGTGCCCCTGCACATGGACAGGGAGTCCCCAAGATCAAGCCAGAGTCTGTGCTTGCTGTCTACCTAAGTGGCCTTGCTTCTAGGTGAGTGTGGATAAACCGTCTCTCTGCCCCACCAAATGAAGTTCCCAGGTTGGAGGGTCTGAGGACTGTCTTTGACAGTCTCTCCTCTGTATTTTGCTAACTTGCACTTGGCCAGATGCTAAAGTTAGTGGCAGCTCCATGGCCTAAGTCTGTGAGCACTGTAGGAATCCAGGCTACACTTGACCTCCAGCAGGCTGGGGAGAGCTCTATTTCCTGAAACCTGGGCTTAGATCATGAGAATAAGCAAACTTCTATGTCTGCAACCTGTTACCCACCCCTCCTAGTGGCTTCCATTCCCTGAAGTCCCTCTTCCAATAGTCCAGGCCCCTTGATTGCCTGTGATTCTCTGTTCAGACTCTGATTTTGCTGCTTGGGAGCAACTGTTTTAGTCTGGAAGTCCCAGATGGAGAGACACATATGTACTGGGGCAATCTGGTCCCCACTCCATTCCCCTGCCATTTCTTGCCATGGTGCCTTAACTACTTCTGTTAGAAATGCATCTTCCTGAGGCCGCTACAGAAGGCGAGTGGTAATGTGTTAAGGACACAGCCCTGGATTTGGGTCATTACTCTATTATGCAAGGGCTACCTCCCCTCCTCTGGATGCTCAACTGAATGCTGGTAGGGAGAGACAGAACACACGAACCATCTGCAGAGGACATTCACTGCACACCCTCAGACCTCCTTAGCCACTTGCCAAATTATTACTGTGAGTCCCTTAACACCCAGGCTGCTTGTAGAGCCTAGCCACTGGCTGTTGGGAGGCCCTGCTGAAAGGAGGCTGGTTCTTTTGGTCTGGGAGAAAGGAAAGGTAGCCGACTTGAGCCCAGGAATAGCTTGGAATAGATAGCCACAAAATCCAGGACTCCCCAGAGCAGAAAAACATTGAATGGTATTTGGGAAGAAAGTTAGAAATGGCCAAGGAGACTAACTGATTTGCCTATTGTCATTCTGTCCCCAATATTGTCAAACTGTGCTCAAGCAATGTCCAGATTCTGAAGTTTTCTGCCCACCTGAACCCACAACTGTAGCCACTCGGGTCATACATCCTGCCCTTGCTCTTTGCAGAAGCAGCTGATTCTCTGGGATGATCCCTGAGAATGTTAACACAGGTCCTTCTATGTGTTTGGGGATGGTTGGAAAGAAAGTTGAGGTTTACCAAGGCATTCTGGAGGGCTCAGAGAACTGGAAGAACTGGAAGGGACAAGTAGAATTTTGAGCTAACAAGCCTTTTAGGGTGGCTTGAAATCCTACCACAGGCCTCTCTGCTGGTATAGCTGACACTGAAGAGTAAAGAAAAGAGGGAGAGAAATGGTGAAAAATCACCAGGGGATGAGTCGTACTTTTGGATCTCGGAAGGTCTGATGCTGGGAGAGAGTCTGATCCCATAGAACAGCCTGTCCACTGAGTGTCCATCTGGCTGTGGAGCCATGCTGCCTCCCTCAGGGCCACATGCAGAAAGAAAGGGAACCAGCCAGGCAGGTGGGCAGGGCAGTTGGGTGGGGCTGCATCGGAAGTTGAGCCAATGATGTCTTTGCTCCTTCCTGTCTGGGGCAGCCCAAGGAAGTCACACCCCTACCCCAATTTTACCTCATGAGAATATCATAAATAATATCATAGGAGAGGCAATGTTGGTGCATCATCAACGTTACAGACACAAATAAGGCAATTTCCCTGATCCCTGAGGTTCATCTGTCTTTTAATTATTCATAACCACTGTCAATTACTACTGATCTGCAGGGCGATGAATGAGCTGAGATTTTTGCTGAAGGTGAATGGGCATGCGCTGCTCCAGCAAGATTTTGCTCTGAGCTGTTGGGCGCCACGTCCTCCATTAGTACTCAAAGCACAAGGCTCTCCCATCCGTCATTTGTGGCCTTATCTTATCGATCCTTTTAATAGCAGGCAGTAACAATTTATTAGCAATTTTCCAGAGTCTCTGCCTCCTGGCGAGATGTTTTTCCATCTTGAGAGCTGAAGTAATATTTCTTCTAAATCTGGCCCTCTTGACGGTTCTAAGAGAGGCCAGGCTGAGCCAGCCGGTGATGCCTACAGAGAAGGAACAGTTAAATGAGGACATTACTATTATTTCCCTTTTCCAGCTAATTTTGTCGTTTCAAATGAACAACTGTGCATGGTAGGGGGCGGGGACCTACAGAGACCAGATGAAAAACAAGTGTTCTTTTATTTCAATCTTATATTGAAATCTGATTTTCAATCATTCATTTCCCCTTACAGAACCTGGTTTTTAAAAGCAAGGCCACAGGAAGAAAGAGAAAAGGCCAAGGCTGCCTGTTGGTGCTGGAGGGCTAGGTACCCGGAAGAGGACCTCCCTGCTGTCAGAGCCTGTGTGTGTCACTCAGCCTCAGGGACTGTTTTATCCACCAGAGAGAAAAAAACAAAGGCCGGGAGTTGGGTGGGAGAGAATAAACCACTTCCCTATTTCATGGCCCAGGAGTTGATTCATGGCACCTTCTCATCCCTGAAAAGAAGAATTGTGGGAATGATGTGGTGACCCTGGCTAACCACGTGGTGCAGCACCCTGCTGCCCCTCTTGGGAAAGGACAGGAGATGCTCTTCAGCCTGGATTGGGAGTCCTCTGGCTTCCCAACTGTAGGGCAGCCAAGGAGCCCCGAGGGACTGGGCCTAGGAAGATGTCTGGGGCTGTGTAAATTCAAAGGGTTTATCTTGTCAGTGGCCAAAAAGAACAGAGGCCAACAGGAGGCCAGGGACTTCAGAAAGCCCAAGCACAGGATGACTTCTTCAGGATTTCAGGGGTACAAAATGACCAGAGGGGCAATTCATGCCCAGGAAGACCATGCTGCCCCCAAGTCCTCTGGCCCAGCCTCCCTGTATCCCTGGACATACCAGCCCCCCCCAGCCCCCCCCCCCACAGAGTTGATTCCCAGAGCTGTTGTGTGTAGCAGCCACCAATTCCCCTTGGAGCAGTGCTGGCCCTAGTACCCCTCTCCTGTAACCTTTGCAATAATAATAGACACCATTTAGCCCTGAGGGAAACAAAGGCTAGTGAAGGAGAGTGATTTGCCTACCACCACCCAGCAAGCATCTGGCTTTAAATGCAGGCCCATCTACTATATTATTTACTTTTCCAATATTTCTTTTATGGTAAATTATCAGTGTGTATACTTATATAAATATATTAATATGAGTAACATAATTATATAGCTGCAATTTTATATTAGCAAAACTGTGTAGCTTATTATTTATTATTGTTATGTAATTTTTTCCCCCGAATAGGTAATAGTTCATGGATTAAAAATTCAAGTACCTAGTCCCTGTGTTCAACCTTGTCCTTCAGCTACCCAGGTCCTCAGAGGCAAACACAGCTATTAGTTCTTTGTGTCACCTTTCAGAGACAGTAGTTTAGCTAAACATAAGCCTATATATTCTTTTTTACCCCTTTGCACAGATGGTGTGTATAAATACCCATCGTTCTGTTCGTCATTCCCCCCCCACTTAGTATTTTTTTTCCCACTTAGTACTTCTTGCAGGTCATTCCATTTCAGTACATAAAGAGCTGTCTCATTTTTATTTATGGCTCCTTGGTATAAAGACACCATATTAAATTTTGTTTTAATCTCAGGAGGCAAATATTTCCCCCACTCCCTTTTTATTATATGCACTTATTATAAAAATTCCATCCTTTGTCGAGCTGAACTTCCCACTGGGAACCAGGATCTTCTGGGTCGGGACCGGGGAGCAAGTTCTTGTGACCAGTTGTTTGGTGGCTCTTCCCCCAGACTCCACACCCTGGTGTCCCAGGCTTCTACAGGAATGGCTTCTCTGGGGGCATCCCATGGGATTGGGGCCACCACTGCCTCCTTCAGTGAGTAGGAAGAATTTCTGGAATTATCCAACCATGGGCAGGGTCCATGTTTGCAGGAGTCAAATGAGGTTCAAGATCCCATTTCTCATGAGTTTAAGAAGAGGATGCTGGTGAGGCAGGAAGATAGATCTCCCATAGGCAGCCAGGATGAAGGCCTTGGAGAAGGACAGGAGGAGGGGACATCATGCCAACCCCAGCAGGGATATTGGGTCTGAAAGTTATCCTGTGACATGCTACTCCATGCCAGCATTCATCACAATGACTTCTGAGCTAGTATACCTGTCTGTGTTCCTCATAGCTTCAACCTAGCAGCCCTTCCTTAGTTACCCTCCCCTTACCCTAGCAATGGCTGACTATAAGAAGCAGACCCCTACTTCCTCTAAGTGCATCAATAATCCTCAGGTGAGACCCGTCCTCTTAATGATTAAAGGGATCAAAATTATGCACTTCTGATTGGCTTAATAAGCTCAGAGCTTGAAGAGTTCGATTGGTCCTTCCTGGCATCCCTTACCCCACCATCACCTGCACTGGGCCATCAGAGGTGCCTTTAAAGACCCCTATTACCAGATACCCATGTGTGTTCCTCTCTTGGGGCTGTCCCCTTTAGGAGCTCTGCTTTCTTTTACTCTAAGAAATCCTGTTACTTTGCTCTCACTCTGTGTCCATGGATTTCATTCCTTAAATTCGTGAGACAAAGAAACCGACAGCCTAACTCCCTGTTACACCGGGAAATGCTAAAATTCTTAGTGTCACTCAGAATCACACACTGGATAATTTTGCAGTAATAGGGACTGTGGTAGTATAGAAGGAAAGCCAGAAGTGACGTTGGGGGTCATCTGGTTTTACCCTGCCTCAATGCAAGTGAAGAGCAGAAATAGTAGTTTTAAGTCACTTGTTGAGAATACACATTTCCAATAACCAAAAAATGATTCCTATCCTGGCTGCTAGATATTATGCCACTAGCAAGCCGATGTGGACAAGGAAGCAAATACCAGGCAGCCCTTCAAGTGAGCTGCGGGTATTTATAGTGATTTTACAAAGGACTACTTAGGACATTAATATTACAGACCATCAAATGCTGGTGTGGACATCGTAGGTGTTGAACAGATTCTGCTATTTGGCAAAATGAATCACATGGTGGTTCTTCATGAATGCTAACATAATGGAAACATTTATAAAGATTAACAGGGATGCCAGTCCAGTGGGGGGTAAGCTCAATTGTAACAGAATTCTCTGAGTTCTCCACCAGACGGAACACACAGTCATAGAGATGGCTTGTTCCTTCTGTAGCCCTAGGGACTAGCTTGATAATCTGAGCATCATCAATAAATATCTCTCTCTCTCTCTCTCTCTCTCTCTCTCTCTCTCTCTCTCTCTCTCTCTCTCT